CTGAATTATAAAGCTTGGCTTAAGCATAAAAATCTTAACCAAAGCAGCTGTGGGCGACGTCAAGCCACTTATCTCATTATTAATTCAAATTGCTAATTATTTGCAGATAGGAGAAAAAGTTGCCGTATAAAGGCACTATTCTTCAATACTGGTTCTTGAGGAGTGCGACCTTGTAGAGGATTTGCAAGAGTAAGACGTACTTGTCTGCATCCTCAGTGATCTTGTTTACGAAACTCAAGGCTTCAGCTTTCAGGAACAAGAGGTGTGTGATGGCAGGGTTGTACTGTGGCAGGTGCCGTTTGAGGCTAATTTGCATGATATATTCCGGTATTCGAACCACTTTGTCTTGTTATTTGACTAATTTTCTGGTTTTAGAACCACTTACGTTATTTAACTAATGTTCCACAAATGTTAAAACTCAGTTACAATGCTATCCAGCATATATTAATTTGCTCCTGTCCTTCACGGACCGGGCTTGAAATATGTTTTAATAATAATAATAATAATAATAATAATAAAATGAACTGGAGCTCAGAAGTGAATCGAACCCGTGACCAAGAAAATCCCGGCCGCTGAAGCAATTAAATCACTTATTTTTTCATTTATATATCACGTTAGAGTGATTTATGTATATAATAATAATAATAATAATAATAATAATAATATAATAATAATAATAATAATAATAATAATAATATAATAATAATAATAATAATAATAATAATAATAATAATAATAATGTTTATAACAAAATATTCATTGGTTGTAATAGACTGTAAACATACATACATGGTACCGATTGTATATGGGTACTTGACTGTAAACATTATATATATATATATATATATATATATATATATATATATATATATATATATATATATATATATATATATATATATATATATATATTTATTTATTTATTTTGGTAGCAGTCTTTCTTTCTTGTAAAGAAAGGTGGCAATATCAAACATTGCCACCTTGTGGACCACTATAGATGGAAGCCTTAAGGTAAAATCAGGTAAATACGTCTCACATGCTGCTGCCAGCGATGCCATCCTTCTCCCTAGAACACACCTAAACCGGGTGAAGGCCACTGTTGCTGCTTAACGGTGACATTGATAACATTAAAATCCCAAATAATGCAATTGCTTAAACGAATCTTCGGTGTAAGTTACACTAGAACCGTTTCAATGACTTTTTACATTCGTTGTATCAGTTGTAGTTAGGTGTCAAGGGGAAAGGTGGGCTTTAAACACGCATGATATGAGGAATGTCTAGTTAGAATGATTACGTTAGGGAGTTCCAAAATAAATCCTTCTGGCATAGCCTATGGAAAGATGCAGGGTGCCCCAGACCAGACGACGCACGAGGATACACATACAATATCGTCAGGCTATTAAGAAGAGAAAGATAATATTGCGAGCTGAAAAGTTATTGAAAGCCCTTCCAGATAAGTTTTATGAATTTTGGGGTAAAATTAGAAAAAATACAACCCGTGGCCATAAGGATCACGAGCACTACTGAAGATGTCTCTAGGCGCCGTAATGTATGGAATGCTTACACAGATAAATATCCAACACCATAAAACAGTGTCATGCACAGGTCAGGTGAGTTTGAAACTGATCTTACTACATTTGTCTATGAGCTCTGCTCTATATCGTGCTTTATAATCGGATAGAGCAGTGCAGATGCACAGTGACTACAACACAGCAGCTTCAGGCTTATACAAGAATTCGACCAACTTATTTTGATGAAAGGTAATGATAGAAGAGAAGTGCACTAGCACCGCATTAGGCTTGGATACCCATGTGCATGGGAAATAGGCTTACAGGTATTTGAAACTTTCCATGGGAAGGCCAACTTTCGCTATTTTCTCAGGTCTTTAATAGTCTCCGTTGCTATTAATGGGAATAACCAAGTTTTCTTGGCTTTCATGTTAAGGATTTATTTTTATTTTTTAAGAGAAATTGTTATTTGATCATTAGTTTTTTGCTGCGAACATTTCCTTCCTTCTCCGTGCGCGATGACGTGAGCTTCAGGATGTATTGGCCTCAAGTTGCTGCGAGTTTCTACCACTAGAGACAAAGGTGGTGAGGGTGTGCATAAATCTATGGTGGAGAGTGGAAGGGTCCCGTGTTGATGGTATGGGGGAGCGAGTGAGAGCTCTCTCTGTGTTTAGGGAATGGGACGTTCCTCCTTAATTATAGGGAGGGGAGGGGGGCGGAGTGAGAGTTATCTGTATGTTGAGAGTCCGGGTAGTTCCTCCTTAACCCACTGTTGGGAAGTTTCTCCTTAACAAAGTCTCCTAGCCTTATAAGAGATCCCACTCTCCTAGCCTTATAGAGATCCCACTTTCCCAGAATGAACAGAGGCATCAAGTGAAAGGAAACATTCCCAATCATCTTTGTCCCACACGGAGATCGAACCTGGAATCCTCAATTGTGAGTCGAGGACGTAGACCCGTGTACCACAGGATCCACCTTCACATATGTGTTGTAAATTCCGAGGAACTCCTCCGTGACAGGGAGAGATTGGAGAATGTACCAGCCATTTGTTTTCTTGATTGGTATACAGCGTTGATCACGGCGCGGGGATGGCCGCCCTCGGCACCCTTTGTGGGGGGGGGGGGGTTGCATTCACCCCAACACAATTCCAATGGAAATTCAAGTTTCTCCTCCCCCCCCCAAAAAAAAAAAAATAAAGATCAAGTAGCAGCTCTTAGTGGAACTAAATAGCACTGATTGTTCCCGCAAGAGGTGGCTAGTTTGTTGTGCACCCTATACTCAGCCTGTGAGCGGTAGCGCAAAAAAAGGATTACAGAGGACACAAAAGATCTTAAATCAGACCTCAGCAGAGATTTTTACATAAACAATTACTGTACATCTAACCTGCACACCTTATAATTATTATAATAACGGCTAGTTACAATTTTTTTTTTCATTACAATATCTTTCTATTTACAATAGAGTATTCAACATTGAAGGTAATGCATATAATAATTCGATCATGAGGAATTACAAGATCACAGAAGACCTATGGATCATCCAATAAGGTTAGCAGACTTCTAGATATACTTGTGCTAGACTTAGACTCGACAACAAGTACCTCTGGAAGTTTGTAACATCTGCTGACGTAGACTTGACTAAATATAAATTCTGTCGGCAGAACTATTCCCATATTTTGCGTCATTATATATCTGAATGCGGAAAAATATTGGAATTCAAAGATAACAGCATCAATGGTGTTAAGAAATGTGCAAGTACTTCTTTCATAATAATGTACTACCAGAAATATTAAGACAGGTATAAAAAAAAATTGTAGGTGCAGCCTGCACATGACTGTAAAGTTGCCGTCCAGTTGGGTGGGTGTGGAGCAAGATTAGTAACCGCGTAACTGTCTCCGCAGATGTAAACTGCCTGAATACAGACTGTTGTGGGCCACTACTTGAATCACTTGTGATATAAAAAGACTGTTGAAATATCTACATGACTTTGTGTAAAAGAAAAAGAAAAATTGTGTAACGTCACAAAATTTTTACTTGCTTAGCTAAATGAACCGCGAGTAGTTTTATTTTACCTTGTTCCCCGCTGGAAAACTGTTGGGCTCGCTCTCGCTCTCTCTCTCTCTCTCTCTCTCTCTCTCTCTCTCTCTCTCTCTCTCTCTCTTAAAAAAGCCCATTTTAAACAAGCCAGTTTGAACTCTTCACATTATTTTTAGTTCCTCTAACCCTGGATAATTTTTTTTCTACTTTCACTCCCAGTAATCTTTATTCAGTTTACCTCACTACTTTGCGTCTCTTCCAGTTTACATACCCCTAATCCCGTGTAAAAGAACAGCAGATTCCATTAAGTTTACCTCACTTGTTTATATCTCAGTTTACATTTCCCTCTAATACATTAATCTCTGTTCTGGTACATGCAGTTTACATCGGGACACAATTTAATTTGCTCTAAATTCGGAATTTAAACTCCAAATCCACCCATCATTAAAGTAGACGGATCAAAACACTACCCTGGACAGTAATACGTATAATAATTCTCTCCTCAGTGATGCATCAAGACTACATGCGACTTTTCCAACCCATCCTCCAGCCTAAGCAATAAGTCAAATACTGACTTAGTTTTTACTAAGTCAGTGCAGTTTTTTTTTTACCTATTCAGCGGACAAGTAACTGACAGGATCAACCTTCCATACAGTATAATAAAACTTTTTTGCTATGTAAATTAATATTATTATATATTGTGAGTTTATGTATAGTTAAGTCTAGGTTAGGTTGGGTAAGGTGTTTTGGTTACGGTGATTTAGAGTGTTTACACTACAGGGTGAACGATGATGTACTTGTCGTGTCGTAGCCTCGAATTAGGTGGACTCTAAAAGTTCAAATACTGATTTATGTAGAGTTTTTGTAGTTAATATTTGACTTACACGTTGAGAACCTCACAGTCCTTTGTTTTGACGATGGACTGGATTGTTCATGATAAGGTTTTTTTTTGTTCATGATAAGGTTTTTCGGTCTTTGCCCGAAACGCTATGCGTACTAGTGGCTTTAGGTATTGTATGTACTACCTCTATCTTTAAATCTAACAGAATGTTTGTACTGTAACGCTGCAACTATGTATGTACTGTTCCTAAATAAATTATTATTATTATTATTATTATTATTATTATTATTATAATTATTATTATTATTAAAGACGTGGAACATGACATTGAATACAGCTGTGCCACAATACAGTGAGGTTAGAGCGTCGTATTTATCATACCACAACACTAGTGTGTTACAGTTCAAGGAGAATTAACAGCTCTGTAGCCAAACAAAAAATAAAAGGTATCCGACATTACATTCTACATCGGACAATCGAAGCTGTAACTAGCCTAGGATCCATGCCTATATTTTGTCGGGATACGGATTATCGAGTTATCCGGCTGTTAACAGATTCCTTTTTATACAACTTATGTTAAGCTTTATTACTGACGAGTAAATTCTCGCTTTCTGGTTACACATTTCTTTCTTCGGATGATGTGTCGAACTTTCAATATATTTTACGTATAACGTATTTTACGTACACTTATAAAGCCCGCTTGGTTTCTTTACAAGGTATTTACATGGTATTTATTATTTACAAGGTATTTACAAGGTATTTATTATTTACAAGGTATTTATTATTTACAAGGTATTTACAAGGTATTTATTATTTACAAGGTATTTACAAGGTATTTATTATTTACAAGGTATTTATTATTTACAAGGTATTTATTATTTACAAGGTATTTACAAGGTATTTATTATTTACAAGGTATTTGCAAGGTATAATGGTATTTCACACGTTTGAAAAATAAAATCTATTGCCTGACCGAATACTTTGTACTAAAAATAAAATAATACTACACATACAAAACTGAATGACAATTAAGTACATCAATAGTAAATAACACAAAAGAAAAGATTGATATATTTTGCAATAATTAGCAGTTAATAAATCAAAGTTAAGAGTTTTACTGCATTTGTATCCCCCGGAGACAGGGCCGTGACTACCCCCCCCCCCCCGCCGCCTGCTGGATAGGTAAGCAGGGCATGAGATGACAGAACAGGTATCCCCCACATCCCCATCCCCATGTAGAGCAGGTATCTACAGTACAGTATCCCCTATGTACTGGACTGTCGGTGACCAGTTCACCCCCACGTACTGGACTGTAGGTGACTAGTTCACCCCCACGTACTGGACTGTAGGTGACTAGTTCACCCCCACGTACTGGACTGTAGGTGACTAGTTCACCCCCACGTACTGGACTGTAGGTGACTAGTTCACCCCCACGTACTGGACTGTAGGTGACTAGTTCACCCCCACGTACTGGACTGTAGGTGACTAGTTCACCCCCACGTACTGGACTGTAGGTGACCAGTTCAGCCCCACGTACTGGACTGTAGGTGACCAGTTCACCCCCACGTACTGGACTGTAGGTGACTAGTTCAGCCCCACGTACTGGACTGTAGGTGACCAGTTCAGCCCCACGTACTGGACTGTAGGTGACTAGTTCAGCCCCACGTACTGGACTGTAGGTGACTAGTTCAGCCCCACGTACTGGACTGTAGGTGACCAGTTCAGCCCCACGTACTGGACTGTAGGTGACTAGTTCAGCCCCACGTACTGGACTGTAGGTGTACCACGCACAAATTGTTTAGCTTGTAGAACACTTGGGGGGGGGGGGGTCCAGTCTCTTCAACCAATTATGTGCTGCACCCTTTCAGCCACCGCCCACAAGATGAGGAAGGGGGTTCTTATAATAAAGCTAATTGAAAATTAAGAAAAAACTTTGCCAGTAGTGGAGGCCGGGGCGCGCGAGAGAGGGAAAAGTTGAGCACCAGGAGGCGAGGCAACTGCCACTCGACGCCCTCAATTAGGATCGTGTTTACAATTGTGATGGACCAGGTGTAGGATCAGCGCTCTCTCTCTCACCTTCCCCTCTCCCTACACCTGTGCTCGTCGCACTCTTGTCAGGGCATACAACACGCTTTCCTCGGGGTGTTGAAAAGAAGAGGGAGATGCATATGAAGGGAAATAATGTCTTTTTTTTTTTAAATAATATCAAATTGACGTAAGAAGGTTATGAATAAACCAAGATGAACGATAGTTTGAGACACGAGACGAACGATCGTGCAAATCTTACGCGAAGTTTAGGTTCGAGGCCCCTTGTTATATTTATCCAGTTCTGCAGTTATTCCAAGCTCCTTTCACAATACTTCGCCCGACACTGTCAGACAGGGGGTATAACACTTCATATATCATAGAGGCGCCAAAGCCTAGGCGTAGACGACAACTAAGCAATTCTCCACTCACTGACGGGAAAACCAAAGACAAAGTTTAGTTAAATTGTTTTAAGTTAGTGTAGTTGTGAACGAAGGTGCGGGGGAAATATTAGAGGGTGGCGTGTGGCAGGTCAGAGGGGAGCGCGGGCGGCGGCGAAGGCTGGACTCCAGTAAGCCTCCAGCAGTCTACCTGGTTGGAACACACTCCTCGCCTCCCCGTGTCGCAGCAGCACACACACACACACACACACACCTGCTGGCTCCCCTCGCCACACACAAGTCCTGCCTCGCCACCAATTCGCTCGCGTCGCCTCGTTCACTCTCACACCAAAACACCCCCCAGTCCTTCCCGTTGCCTAAATCTTTGCTCCTTGTTCGTATTCCTCTATCCCTTGTGTCCTTATCCCAGCTCTCTCGCACCTTGCATATCGTGCCAGCCGGCTTGGACCCTGCACTAGTCAGGCCGCAGCACAGCCGGCCGGACCATGTCTCAGGTCACACTCGTGCACGTCAGCAATTGCTCCTGCAGCTGCAGCCCTCAGCAGGGGTGACAGACGCCTTGCCACCGCCGCCTTGAGTGAATGCCACCTTTGGGGCCGCTACACTATTCAGTATACAGTGTTCCTGTCGTCGCCGAACATTTCGTGAGTTTACAGTTGTTCGCAGCCTCTGCCTCAGTATACTCCAAGCCCGGGTGTACGGTGATCTGATCTTAGTGCGGTGGTGCGGCGAGTATCAATCCGGAACACTGGGTTTACGAACGAGGATTTCCCGGGCTGAGTCCTGGTATAGACATTTGCTGTAAAACGGACTATAATATTTTATTATATGTTTCGTTTGTCATAACACGTGAACCAATACTTCTGCAATTAACAAGAGTTATATAGACTGCATCCTGGTTGTTAAAATACATTTAATACAAGTTTAATGAGTTAATAATTGATAAAAGAGCTTGTTGAGGCGGTACATGCAGGAGGAAGCGGAGACTGTTGGAGTTGTGTGGTAGTGCTGTGGTGAAGGAAACCGGGCGCCGCGGGTGTGGTCAGCCAGGCTGTCCTCACCTGGCCGCTCTTGGTCCTTCAGCACCTGACGAGTGCGGCCCGGCGTGGCCAACACTAGGAGAGAGGTGGGCGGTGGCAGGGGCGGCAGCCATGGTGGGTGCACCAGCCCTGTGGCGCGGGTGTGGGCGTGGGCGTGGGGAAGGATGAAACGCCGCGACTTCCAAGAAGTGACCCTTTCTCTCTCAGCTCCCGGCACCCTGGTGGTGGACGACTCTCGGGAACCCAGTCACAGCTCGGCCCCGCCATCCTTCAGCATCAGAAGGCAGTCTTCACTAGACAACGACCAGCTACAAAGACGACCCGCAGTACAGCGGCAGCACAGGCTCGTCGGCAGCACACAAAGTTTGCACACCTCTACCAGATCATCGCGGTCGTCGACTTCGACACTGCGGGAGTCAGACACTGACACAGCTGACTACGAGTCGACACCCGTCACCAACCTCTCGGCATCAACTCGACCGAAAGACCGTGCAGATATATCCTCCGTCGCAAGAAACAAGGGCTCGCCAGTAGTCGCCACCAGGCCTTCCGAGGCCAGAAAATCCAAGTCAACAGGTGCCAAAGTCGGTAATTTTGTAAACAAAAGCAAGGTATCTGTTTTAGGACGAATAGTCTCGTCAGTGTCCAGAGAGAACAGTTCCAAATTCCACCAGAGTGCCAGTCCCTCGCCCACATCCGCTACCGTCCACCAACCCGTCCAGGGCGAAGCCCAACCACAAATGGAGGTAGAGAGCCTGGAAAAACGGGTCGACGACTGGATCGTGGGTCTGAAGGCCGCCCTCCAGCTGGACGCCCAAGACCAACAAGAAGACGCCCTCGAGGCCTACAACAGGTGAGTAAACGCGGGCTACCTTGCTGTAATTACCATGTGGGCGTGTGTGTGTGTCTGCCCCTGTCATCGTGCTTCGTGACCTTTGATGGGAGTAGTGATGATAACTTTGGCTTATTCCAGAGCTCGCGGTTTACAGCCCAATGGTTCCCCAGTGAAATAAATACGGGCCAAGGATGGCATCCTCGAGGGTGTGGGGAAAATATAAAGTGAGCCATCACATAATATGTGATGGTTCACATATTATGTGATATGTAATACCAATATTAATTTCACAAAGCCTGTCACACAGTCAAAACTGGAACAAATGTATCAGTCATGTCAGCCCGATATTTGATCTCACAACACTGTCAACCTACTGAACCTATTATGACCAGTGTTTGATAAGGTGGGGTGGGTGGGGTCCCTCCCCACAACCCCACCTTATGAGGTTACCTCACCAACCCTGGTGAGGTTGATATTGTGGGATAGTCAAAATTACTGGCCCCAGGAGACTGGCGGGGCCGTCAACTATGTATATATTGCCCTGGGAGGCTGGAGGGGGCTGCTGGCCCTGGGAGGCTGCTGGCCCTGGGAGACTAGTGGGGGGCTGATGGCCCTGGGAGGCTGCTGGCCCTGGGAGACTAGTGGGGGGGGGCTGATGGCCCTCGGAGGCTGGAGGGGGCTGCTGGCCCTGGGAGGCTACTGGCCCTGGGAGACTAGTGGGGGGCTGATGGCCCTGGGAGGCTGGAGGGGGCTGCTGGCCCTGGGAGACTAGTGGGGGGCTGATGGCCCTGGGAGGCTGGTGGGGGCTGCTGGCCCTGGGAGGCTGGTGGGGGCTGCTGGCCCTGGGAGGATGGTCGGGGGGCTGCTGGCCCTGGGAGGCTGGAGGGGGCTGCTGGCCCTGGGAGGCTGGAGGGGGCTGCTGGCCCTGGGAGGCTGCTGGCCCTGGGAGACTAGTGGGGGGCTGATGGCCCTGGGAGGCTGCTGGCCCTGGGAGACTAGTGGGGGGCTGATGGCCCTGGGAGGCTGCTGGCCCTGGGATACTAGTGGGGGGCTGATGGCCCTGGGAGGCTGGTGGGGGTTGCTGGCCCTGGGAGGCTGCTGGCCCTGGGAGACTAGTGGGGGGCTGATAGCCCTGGGAGGCTGGAGGGGGCTGCTGGCCCTGGAAGACTAGTGGGGGGCTGATGGCCATGGGAGGCTGGTGGGGGCTGCTGGCCCTGGGAGGCTGGTGGGGGCTGCTGGCCCTGGGAGGCTGGTGGGGGGCTCATGGCCCTGGGAGGCTGGTGGGGGCTGCTGGCCCTGGGAGGCTGGTGGGGGGCTCATGGCCCTGGGAGGCTGGTGGGGGCTGATGGCCCTGGGAGGCTGGTGGGGGGCTCATGGCCCTGGGAGGCTGGTGGGGGCTGCTGGCCCTGGGAGGCTGGAGGGGGCTGATGGCCCTGGGAGGCTGGTGGGGGGCTGCTGGCCCTGGGAGGCTGGTGGGGGCTGCTGGCCCTAGGAGGCTGGAGGGGGCTGATGGCCCTGGGAGGCTGGTGGGGGGCTGCTGGCCCTGGGAGGCTGGAGGGGGCTGCTGGCCCTGGGAGGCTGGAGGGGGCTGATGGCCCTGGGAGGCTGGTGGTGGCTGCTGGCCCTGGGAGGCTGGAGGGGGCTGCTGGCCCTGGGAGGCTGGAGGGGGCTGATGGCCCTGGGAGGCTGGTGGTGGCTGCTGGCCCTGGGAGGCTGGAGGGGGCTGCTGGCCCTGGGAGGCTGGTGGGGGGCTGCTGGCCCTGGGAGGCTGGTGGGGGGCTGCTGGCCCTGGCAGGCTGGTGGGGGGCTGCTGGCCCTGGGAGGCTGGAGGGGGCTGATGGCCCTGGGGGGCTGCTGGCCCTGGGAGGCTGGAGGGGGCTGCTGGCCCTGGGAGGCTGGAGGGGGCTGATGGCCCTGGGAGGCTGGTGGTGGCTGCTGGCCCTGGGAGGCTGGAGGGGGCTGATGGCCCTGGGAGGCTGGTGGTGGCTGCTGGCCCTGGGAGGCTGGTGGGGGGCTGCTGGCCCTGGGAGGCTGGTGGGGGGCTGCTGGCCCTGGGAGGCTGGTGGGGGGCTGCTGGCCCTGGGAGGCTGGAGGGGGCTGATGGCCCTGGGAGGCTGGTGGGGGGCTGCTGGCCCTGGGAGGCTGGAGGGGGCTGCTGGCCCTGGGAGGCTGGTGGGGGGCTGCTGGCCCTGGGAGGCTGGTGGGAGGCTGGTGGGGGGGCTGCTGGCCCTGGGAGGCTGGAGGGGGCTGATGGCCCTGGGAGGCTGGTGGGGGCTGATGGCCCTGGGAGGCTGGTGGTGGCTGCTGGCCCTGGGAGGCTGGAGGGGGCTGCTGGCCCTGGGAGGCTGGTGGGGGCTGCTGGCCCTGGGAGGCTGGAGGGGGCTGCTGGCCCTGGGAGGCTGGTGGGGGCTGCTGGCCCTGGGAGGCTGGTGGGGGCTGCTGGCCCTGGGAGGCTGGAGGGGGCTGCTGGCCCTGGGAGGCTGGGGGGGCTGCTGGCCCTGGGAGGCTGGTGGGGGCTGCTGGCCCTGGGAGGCTGGTGGGGCTGCTGGCCCTGGGAGGCTGGTGGGGGCTGCTGGCCCTGGGAGGCTGGAGGGGGCTGCTGGCCCTGGGAGGCTGGAGGGGGCTGATGGCCCTGGGAGGCTGGTGGGGGCTGCTGGCCCTGGGAGGCTGGAGGGGGCTGCTGGCCCTGGGAGGCTGGAGGGGGCTGATGGCCCTGGGAGGCTGGTGGGGGCTGCTGGCCCTGGGAGGCTGGAGGGGGCTGCTGGCCCTGGGAGACTAGTGGGGGGCTGCTGGCCCTGGGAGGCTGGTGGGGTGCTGATGGCCCTGGGAGGCTGGTGGGGGCTGCTGGCCCTGGGAGGCTGGTGGGGGCTGCTGGCCCTGGGAGGCTGGTGGGGGCTGCTGGCCCTGGGAGGCTGGTGGGGGGCTGCTGGCCCTGGGAGGCTGGTGGGGGGCTGCTGGCCCTGGGAGGCTGGTGGGGGGCTGCTGGCCCTGGGAGGCTGGTGGGGGGCTGCTGGCCCTGGGAGGCTGGTGGGGGGCTGCTGGCCCTGGGAGGCTGGTGGGGGGCTGCTGGCCCTGGGAGGCTGGTGGGGGCTGCTGGCCCTGGGAGGCTGGTGGGGGCTGCTGGCCCTGGGAGGCTGGTGGGGGCTGCTGGCCCTGGGAGGCTGGTGGTGGTGGCTAGCCAGCCCTAAGAGTTCCTCTTCCCCCGAAGATCAAGCATGAACTAGGTTGAGCATTAGCTCCAAAGCCCCACCTTACAAGCTATTGGTTATTTTATGCAACCATTATGTTCTCTTTTATGTTGATGTTCACATTCACAACTGTAAGTGTTCATTGTGTTAGCTTCAGCCACCAGTTCAATCCATTTGATGTATTTACAACTCTTTGTTTTTTCTTCTGAATTTTGTGAGGCGCTTGTGTGTAGTTCCATTCATTTCCTCACTTTTGTTCTTTTACAATGAAATTCAACTGTGCTAAATGTTACAAAAGTATCTTTGTAATTAGTGCGCGCGTATGTACTCACCTAGTTGAGCATGTGCGGGGGTTGAGCTTCGGCTCTTTGGTCCCGCCTCACATCACTGTCTTATTGAAAGACACATACTTCCTGTGCATGCATGTGTGTATTCACCTAGATGTGCTTGCGGGGGGTTGAGCTCTGCTCTTTCGGCCCGCCTCTCAACTGTCAATCAATCAACTGTTACTAACTACTAACTAATTTTTTTTTCACACACATACACCCAGGAAGCAGCCCGTAACAGCTATCTAACTCCCAGGTACCTATTTACTGCTAAGTAACAGGATCATCAGTGTGAAAGAAACTCTGCCCGTTGTTCCTCGCCGGCGCCGGGAATCGAACCCGGGCCACAGGATTACGAGTCCCGCGCGCTGTCGACTCAGCAACCAGCGTTGTTGTTGTTAAAGATTTAGCTACTCAGGACGAAGTGTCCATGTAGCACGGGCTATGGTGAGCCCGTAAGCAACCAGCGCTTTGGGGACTCGTAATGTATGTGTGTGTGTGGGGGACGGGGACGGGGGGGGGGAGGGTTCACGATGATGGTAATTAGTCCTTCAAATGTACAATATACATCTTTAACATTCATCTTGAACATTTCGTTACTTCTCCTCTTTCTCTTTTATTTTCAAGTCTGGTCAGGTGTAGTTCCCTTCCCCCTTTCCTCATAGTTGAGATGTTTGAAGTTCCTGGCACCAGCTGGGAGCAAATCTCTACACTTGGGCTAGTTTTTGTCTTGCCTTTTTTTTATTTTTTTTTAGGCAGGAATTGCACAGTGGGGCTACACATGCTAGTGCTCGCGTGACCTAGGTAATGCACAGCATCGTAAGGGCTTCCTTGTTCATAACTAGCGGGACTGCAGCTGATGCCGTGACTCCAGCAGAAACTTGTCCAGGCCGCTCTTTGGAGTTCACACACACACACACACACACACACACACACACACACACACACACACACACACACACACTTTACACTGCCTACGTAAGGCCAGTCTTAGAGTATGCCGCCTCATCATGGAGTCCCCATCTGAAGAAGCATATAATGAAACTGGAAAAGGTTCAGAGGTTTGCAACGAGACTCGTCCCAGAGCTACGAGGGATGGGGTATGAAGAGCGCCTGAGGGAACTGTGCCTTACGACACTAGAAAGAAGAAGGGAGAGGGGGGACATGATAGGAACGTATAAGATACTCAGAGGAATTGACAGAGTGGACATAGACGAAATGTTCACACGGAATAGTAACAGAACGAGAGGACATGGATGGAAGCTTGAAACTCAGATGAGTCACAGAGATGTAAGGAAGTTTTCTTTTAGCGTGAGAGTAGTGGGGAAATGGAATGCACTTCAGGAACAGGTTGTGGAAGCAAATACTATTCATAATTTTAAAACCAGGTATGATAGGGAAATGGGACAGGAGTCATTGCTGTAAACAACCGATGCTCGAAAGGCGGGATCCAAGAGTCAATGCTCGATCCTGCAAGCACATATAGGTGAGTACATATAGGTGA